TCAAATACGTACTGAAAAATTGATTTGAAAAATTAATAATTGTGAATTTTTTGCAATAATGCGTATAACTTGGCCATTTTTGAAGATATTTAGCTAAAATTTGCTAGAATTAGTCATAATCATGCGTTCTGTCACATATATTCTGGTTTTTTTCGAAAAGTCAAAAACTTTTTGAAAAAAAAAATGTAAAAATATAAATTTTGAATATTATTATATAAGATTTTCGAAATTTTCAAAATTTTGAAAATCCGAGATAGCAGTTTGATAGCGCCGTCAATTCTGAGTCCTTTCATTCAAAGAAATTGGATCTAGCTTAAAAACTGAGCTCTTGGGAGCGATTGCCGTGGTTCAATGTTTTGCGTCGAAATCGGACGAACATGACGTCACTCTGACGTCATTTCCGGCCGACCTATGGTAGCTACGAAGTTCAAATTTTGACACAAGGTGTCAAATTGATGCAGCCGAAGGTACTGAAAGTTTGGCGTCGATCCGTCAAGCGGTTTGGAAGTTATTGCAGAAAAACGGGAGGGGGGCTATAAATAGCCCCCCAGTGGGGCGCGGGTTAATAATTATATATTTCTGCATATTCGATTTAATGTATAATTCTGCGTACTCTTACTCTCCTGAGCAGTGCGTCCTCTTACCGTACATGCAATTCGCGCACAAAACAACCCCGAAACGTTGTGCAAAACTTCGCAAACAGAATGTTGCACTGTACAATATTTCCCCAGATAACCTCACAAGTTTCCCACAACAATCACGGAAATGTACCTCATCTCAACTGCCAAGTATCAAAATTATTGTACCATATCATAATAATATCATAACGCTCGAAAATAATATTCATCGCCTTAAACTCAACAGCGTCGCCGCTCAACGCCCACGTTCCGTTGGTGACATGCACGCACTGGCGGCTTCATGTCACTTCATGAACTCGACAAACCCGCGTTGCTAAGCAACCGAAACAGCTGATGCGTACTCTTATCGCCCGCGTACTCTTACCCGCCCTTACCCTACTCTATTGGACATGCATATCCAAACGCGAACGTTTTTCCATCACCTAACCTAGTTCAGTTTCATTCCTACAACGTTCTAGAGAGGTGGCCATAGATAAGCTCCAATGATGAAAAGGTGCACTAAGAATTTTACAACGATGCACTATCCTGTCTATAACTGTAATTAAGACTGGACTCAAAAATCATCTTCTCGAAAATTATAGGACAATCCACACTTTGAAGCATTAGAAATTGGAATCGACATCAGCCACATAGGCGAAGCTCAGACCATTGAATTAGTTGAAGCAGATGCGACGCTGCACCACTCCTTCAGCGAATCATCTGCATCATGATGACAAAGTAGGTGAGTACGAAGCTGAGCACGGACAGCAGGGCCTCCTTCCTGACGGTGAACACGCCGCAGACGTGCAGCGTCAGCGGGCCGCGCGTCTGCTCGAGCAGCGCGCCCAGCCGGCGCCGCTGGGCGGCCCCCCGCGCCGCCGGCCAGCACTGCTTGGCCAGCGCGCTGTGCAGCTCCTGGGAGCGCTCCAGCAGGCCGCTGCCGGACACGTTGACGGTGAGCAGACAGACGAACCAGTACACCATGACCAGCGAGAGGCCGGCCACGTCCACCGACAGGCCGCGGCGGCCAGAGAGGTGGCCGGCGCCCACGTAGCCGGCCAGCAGCAGGATGGCGGCCACGGCGGCGTGCAGGCCGAGCAGCGGGGCGCCGAACACGGACACGGTCTCCGAGACGAGCAGGAACACGCGCCGGTACCGCTCCGAGAGGCGCTGCAGCCGCACGGCCGGGTCAGCGGCGGCGAACGGAGCGGGGCTGGTCGGGCCAGAGCCAAAGGCCGAGTCAGCGCCGGGAGCGGCGACATCCTGTCTTGGGTTCGCCTCTTCACAAGAAGGACCCGCCATTCCTTCTTCGAGAGCGCTTGCGTCTTCCAGCACCCACGCCTTCTTGGCGCCAGCAGAGATGGCATCTCCCTGCTTTGTTTCTGAGTTGATGTCGATGGCCCACACACGACCTTTTCCCTCTTCAAGTCTTGGAGGATCGTCACTCCTTGAGCTGTTCCATTGAGGGCTGTCTGTTGAGCCGGTCTCGTCTTTGAAATACATTTCAAGCACCTCCCGCTGCACGATTTGCAACTGCACTGAAGCGGCGTCGCACAGGCCAGCAACCATCAGCGTGAACAACATCAGTTCCACTTGCATAAGCGTGGCAAGGAGGGACTGAAAGGTCAGTATTGCTGCGAGGCCTGCTCCGTAGCGCAGCTGCTGAGGAACCCATACAAAGAACAACAAAGTTCCGTAGCCGTAGCCCTCCGAAGACAGTACAATGGTGTAACAGACAATACAGGCACAGGCAAACGCCAAGGCCGTTGATAGGATCGAGCGGAAACCTCTTACATCCTCGGGTTTGTAGAGACGACTTTCGTCGCTCTCAAGACTCGCCGCTTGACGAAGAAGAGAATGCAGTCGTTGACGTCTCCATAGAAACCACATCAGGATTAGAAGACCGAGGCCAGTGGCGATGCCGAAGCACATGGTGACAAGTGTCTCCTGAATCGCGAGAGCTGTTGTCACTTTCTTGATGTTGAGGGCGAGCCCACACGACACCACTGCGAGCGGAATAACTCTGAGAAGATGCCACAGGGGAGGCAGGGAGCGTTCCTCGCGATGGATTCCGGTCAGGGTTAGAACAGACCCTATCAGTAAGATGCGTCTCAACAGGCGGGAGTGCGAAGACATGGCGAGAAAGCCTGGATACTAGAGCAGCCAGAAATGGAGCGGTAGAAGTTAGGAGGTAGGTTGTGAGAGGTAGTTCCTTCGGCGAAGTCCTTTTCCTCACTGCTGCCAACTGTTCCGAAAGTCGGGATGCCTGCCGTCACACTGAACAGCGCCCACTGTGTACTTTGCTGAACTCCACTGTGTCCGCTTCTGAATGGCCACGCCCTTGCCTTTGGCCAGTCTACACATTGTGACATGCCAGTCAGTCTGAACACCACTGACAATCGTTGGCAATCCCCATGGCTATTTGATGTCCATATTTCCCACAAGACATGGCGGCCCGGTGTTTGCTCTACCTGGCTGCAAGCAGGTCCCTAATGGATATTAAAGCTAGAAAACTGCAGGCCGACGTCTTTACTATGGAGAAGCGAGAACAACGACAGTCGCTGATGTGGATGTGTATAGTCCGTCTGTATTTCCACTTATAATGCTTAACTTGAGGGCTTAAAAGGCTTCATCCATTAGCAAACTGCGTTCTGCTAGGCTGTTTTGTCTTGTTACCTACTTTGCAACGCAGAACTGTGACAATGTCCAGATGTTGAATGTTCTGACGTCAAAATTAACACATCTATAATCAGAATTAAATCTTGGTAAACAATGGTTGCAATTTGTCACCGTTCTGTAACCCCAATAAAGACATTCTGATGCCGTACTCCTGCCCAGGCCACTCCTACCAAATTATCCCATTTTCTCAGCCAGAACTTGCATTTAATGCCCGCCCATGCGCCAACATAACCACCGATCAATTATTGGAGTGATTGTGCCGTATCACTCTGAAATAATCTCCGTCATATGCTCAATTTGACACGGTGGAGGCACAATGCACATCCATCATCGGTGTGCATTCGTCACTGCACAAGTGCACAAGTGCTCGAGTCATGTGGTTAGGCAATTGCCTGATGACGTCAAATGTGTCGTGGGAAGTAAAAGTCTGGACTAGGCGACACGTGTGATACATGTCACTACAGTTGCACATTGGTACGGGTGCATTAGCGACACAGTAAATCAAAGCAGGGGCGGAGGGCATGATTAGGTTGAACGTCAATGCTGATCAGAACAAGCGAGCATAAGATTGGCAGACTTGCTTATGTTTAATGCTGTTATACATCCGACCATAGGAATATGTAGGTGCTAGGATATTTATTTATTTATTTATTTCACAATTCGCTACCCATCCACGGACACCGTGGCTATTCCGGGTAGTACGTCAGCAGTACACAAGGTTACACAGGGAGTAGCACACATACCACATTCGGTGACAAACCATGCTCCGTTCACTACACGATGCACTATGTGACCTGAGTGCTCAGCAGGTACCGGCGCAGCTCCGACTTGAAGCGGGGCAGGCCTAGCTCACGCATATCATGGGGCAGTTCTATATAATACTGAACGAGGCCGGTGTAAATAAATTTTCAAGACCGAGGTCCTTACTGGATTTTTGAACGAGGCCGAAGGCCGAGTTCAAAAATCAGTAAGGACTGAGGTCTTGAAAATTTATCACCGGCCGAGTTTGGTATGTATTTTACTGTATGCCAACGATAAATTTATTTTCTGGACCGAAGCTCTTAGCCGACTTAGGAACGAGACCATCCCAAAATGATGGCTTAAGTGCATTCTGGTAATGCATTTTTGACCGTGGTCAATTTGCTTACACCAGTTATTACCACACCCCTGTGGCTAATGTATTTGAATAGGCCAGGCATACAGTAAATTGTATTCCTTCAAGACAGAATACATGATATTGTTAATGTAATGAGATACATACTTTCTACATTTAAAGCTCTCAGTTGTACACCGTTCGTCGTACGCCTAGGTGGCTGCTGAGCACATCAAACGAGGCTCGTTATCACATTCACGCCTTACCAATAATTTTCAACTAGCCCTCATTTACCAACTCGTTGTAATGGCTCCACCCCCACCATTGCATCCTAATTGTCAATTTTAAGGCCACAAAAGCGCGCCCATTTGATCTAATAACTCACATTTCTTCTGTTGTCACAAATGGATCACCGTGACTAATTACCCACCCATCAGCCGAATAGGAAAGCCACGCCAGACGGTTAGCGATGCTCCTTTTTCGGGGTGACTCAGCACGGGGTGCAGCCGCCCCGCTACCGGCATCATCTCCGCTGACACGTGAGAAAAATGTGCCAGCGGCGAAAGTAAGTAAGCGACATTTTCCACATAAAACTGACGGTCGGTGTTCGGATCGGCACAGTGCGACACGGTGCTCGGATCAGAACGGAGCAGATTGCAGAGGATCGAAAAGCAGCGCGGATCGCTCAGAGTGCACGTGATAGACGCTCAGAGGCAGCTTGTGACAGCAGAGCTCTGTGCTTTGCTGTAGCTGTGCTCGTGTGTGCTAAAGTGTGAGCGAATAAGCGTTGGAGGTGTTCGGATTTGGTCGATTCGGATCAAAGTCAGGTAAGTTCGAGCTGCGAGCGAAATAGCAGCAGCCATATCAACCTTTGATCTCCTTCAAATACCCTTTTCAAAGCTGAAAATTTCCTAGATATTTTTTCGGCTATTTCTCGCTCCGTTCATAGACACGAGGGAAGCTGCTTTTTCCTCCAGAAGCCAGGGATACCTAATTACCTACATAAAAATTGCCGGGTTATTTTGTTTGGCATTACAGTCGCCGTCAAGTCTTGCCAATCAAGCGAGAAAAATATTGATGTGCAAAGTATCAACGAAGCTGGCTGTTTTTATCAGCTTTTTTTTTTGCTTAGTGCGGCTAGCAAAATGCTGGACAAATAGCCGCTCCTGGCGATTTTCTGTTGGTAGAACATAGCCTCAAATAAACCATCACTTTTTCGTAGAAGCATCTGTTTATGCTATCAACCCCTAAGGAGTAAAATTATTCTCTTAAAAAGACTTTTGTATCACTCTTCCTATATTTAGACGTCCAAATTCGATTAAGAGATAGAGCACTCTATTGCAACTTTTTTTTAATTTGATGCCCACGTCCCACAGGATAAAAATTGATTATTATGAACCGTTTCCGAGTTTTGATTCACATGGATTAATTACAGAACCACTAGTAAAACCGTCACCCTGTATCAGTTTTTTTCTGCCATTAAACTCCATTGGAACTTTGTCCCCTTGGTTGAAAAGACGCGATTACATTTCGCTCTCTTGCTAAGAAAACAAGTACCATGAAACAAAATTTGAATAAAAACTATTTTGCACGAAAAACATTTTTGCCAGTTTTTCGACATCATTATCCTGACAACCGAGCACGTAGTAGCTAATAAATGGGCAGCCAGTCTGACCAACGAAATTCAATATGTTCGAATATCGAAAGTAAAAGAAAAGAGTACTTATCAAACCATAACTGTAACACCTAAGTCCAGTGCAATATTTATCTTGTCTATAGCTATCAAAGTAGTATTTCAAATAGTGTTTTGAAATTCACTCACCGTCAAGCAACAGCAAACTGCTGTCATTGCAAATCTGTTAAAAACAAAAACAAAACAAAAACAACACTCTCCTGTAAACAAAACTCCCCTCTCCTTTCTTCATCAGGAGCAATGAAGTTGAGCTGCGTCCTCCTGCTGGCCCTGGTTGCCATGGTAGTCGCCGACTCCAGCGAATATTACCAGAGCGACTACAGCCAGGAGTACAGCCAGGAGCCGTCCAACTATTACAGTAGCAGGAGGGGCCGGCCGGCCAGCCGAGGCATTTTCGGGTTAGTTTTACATAGAATGGATACCGGTGAATGTGAGAGAAATGTCGCCTACTTGCTTATTATAGTAATATCTGGGAATACATGCCTTGGGTAGTGTGAAAAGACGTGTTGCGATTGACATTTTCCTGATTGAGCTAAAAGCATCGCTTACATCTGTTTCGCCTGTAATCAGTTTTGAAATGAATTTTCATGACCAGCAGCCTACACCCGGCACGTAGCCCAAGTCCCAATATCTCAACACAACACCCCTCCTGTCATTCCAGGAAGCTGAAGAACCTGCTGGGCCTCGGAGCCACGCGCCGTCAGTTCACGGGTCCCACAGGGACCGGCACTGGGTTCACCGGAGTGGGCGCCACCGGGGGACAGTTTATCGCCCAGCCCGCCACCGGCGGAGGATGTGAGTTTTTTATCCTTTTGGTGGTTTAACCCGGCAGGCGGTGGGCCTACCAGCCACCTTCCACGCGGTGGGGGGGGGGGCACTTTTTTGCCCCCCCCCCTTATCTCCGAAACTGCTGGACGGATCCGGAAAATTCAAACGGCGTTCGATAGCCCTGTCAAATTTGTCGAAGGAAACCAAATTTCATTGACCTCGGGGTCACCGATGACGTCACAGGTCAGGTCAAAGATAAAATGTTTCACCGTTCACAGGGCTTCTAGGGAAAGCGCTATAACACCGAGTAAAACGCATTTTGTCGAAAATCAGCGATAAGGCGTCAGTTGTCTAGTACATATGTTGCTATTAGAGGTCACTGGTCATACCAGGTCAGGTCACAGGTCAGGTCACCAAAGGTCACCAAGGGTCACCACATGAGCCCAACTTTACTAAGGTGATGTGATGCATGTTTTATGGCCAGTTTTTCATTTCCAACTCAATGGTGTTGGTTATAAGACCATCAGGTACGGTTTAGGTCACTTTCTGGTGGAGGTCAGGTCAAGGTCAGGTCAAAAAAGGTCAAATTTCAAAGTTGATATTTTTGCATAAAATGGGTATCAATTCGATGCAGCTCGTCACGGTGAGTCTAATGGTGGTCTTTGTTTTGCGCTACGAGGTCTAGAATTGCTAAAAATTGAGTTTGAAAATTTGACGTCATCAATTTTGAACAGTTTTTTTCGCTATAACTTGGCCAAAAAACGAGGTATCGATCTCAAATTTGGTATGTAGATAGAAAGCGGTGGGGACTATCACATATATTCCGGTTTTTTCGAAATTCAAAAAACTTTTTGGATTTTTTGGCTATTATATTCAAAAAATCTATTTTTTGATTTTTGGGGGTCAAAATCAAAAAAATTAGAAAAACCGAAATAGCAGTTTTGTAGCCCTTTTGATTTCACACCTTTTATGTCTAAAACATTTTTCTGTATCTCTAAAGCTGTAGGCCTGACAGCTCTTCCCGCGAAACCTTTTTTTGGGTCGAAAATGGCAAAAATGACGTCACTCTTACGTCATTAGCGGCCAACCTATCATAGCCTTTGGAAAAATTTTTGGTCACCATGTGCGCTAGCTGCTCCCGGGAGGGTACTGAAAGTTTGGTGACGATCGGCGCAGCGGTTCTCGAGATATATCGAAAAAAGTAAAGGGGGGGGCAAAAAATTGCCCCCCCCCCCACCGCCTGGAAGGTTAAGTCTGTGCTAGACGCATGGTGGGGGGGGGAGTGAGCTCCAAGCTGGGTTAGGAGGCCGCGTGCTGAGTTTTGCAGTCTTTCATCAATTTGGCTTTTGTATTGCTTTTTAGAAAAAAAGTCGTCTCTTTTTCTGCAATTTTGTGTATTTGTAAGTAAATTGCAGTTAAAAATTAATGGATGGCTTTGAAACAATTTACTTCCTAATTTTTCATCAATATAAACATTCATATAACCTCCCGCATTTATCCAGCGCAGCGCATTCAACTTGTCCGCTGACGCCAGTTTCCGTTGTTTTTCTCTCCGTGCAGTCCCCCTGCTGCCCATCCTGCTGGGAGGACTCGGTCTGGCCGCCCTGGCCGCCCTCATCGGAGGACTTTTCCTCGCTACTCAGCTCAACAACTCCGGCCGTGGCCTGGACACGGACGAGTGGGAGGTAGACCACTCCGTCTGGATGGACCAGCTCCAGAAGGACTTTGAGGATTCGTGGAACACTCAGTAGCGTGACAGACTGAACTGAACGTGTTTTGAATACCTGATGGTTTGATATATTTATTCAGAAGTCCATCTTCTGGACTAAACGCTTGCCGACCTTATTGCTCAACTGTTGTTCATGCGAGAAGCAGAAAACGTCTAAATGACCAGGGCTTCAGGAGCCGTAAGCTAAAATACTTTCGCGTCAAACACTTAAACAAATTATTTCAAACGCTTCGGCCTCGCCATGGTGACCTTGTGCTTTGTTCATCAAAATTACACCAAAATCTGCAAATGTGTATTACTTGCAATTTAGAAAAAATGTTGAACGTGTCTGGTAATGCCAAATACCCCCGTCTTTCATACCAGGCAGACCGCCGAATTTCTTATTTTTGTTAGGAACTTGACATTCTACAAGATCGCTTCTATGTGTTGTTATTTTTGTTGTTGTTGCTACCTCTGTTATTTTGTTTTGTTGACTGTTGTATTTAGTATTGAACTGGTGTTTGCTTGTGATTTACATGTTTTGTTATTATTGCAATAAAATGAGTTTGATCACACATGCATGTGTTTCTTCTGCTTAAAGGGACCCTCCCACCTTCAAAAAAGTTTATGAATTGGCATGAAAGTGATGTCGCTCGGTTCAGAAAGAGCGAAAACGAATATCTACCAAATTTCACCAAAAAATATTCACCGGTTTTAAAGATATTAGACTTTTACTTTTGTTTACTTTTTGGGATCTCCGCTGTTCCTAGCGACTTTATTTGGAAGCAATAGTTTGGCAGTTGAAAGTGCGGCACTTGTTGCGCGCAAAGCAGCATATACCACCGCGTGCTACAAAACGTTTTAGTCAAACATTTAAAAATCGTTAGATATCTGCGCTGACGTCACACATTCAGAGGGTATTCCTATGCATTAGCCCCTCTGAATCAAAATGCTGCAATTTTGAAATTCAATATTTCCGATTTAACCCTATTCCTGGCGGGCTCCGCCGGGACAAGAAACTGGCGGGGGGGGGGGCCGATTCGGCCCCCCCCCCTGAGATCTCGAGAACGAAGCAAGATAGCGACAAGCGGTAAACGGCATCGGATACGCACGGCCAAGATCTACAATTTTTACCAAGGTCATTTTCAGGTCAGGTCAAAGATGACGTCACAGGGGTCGAAAAAGTCAAAATGGCGGCACTAGATATGGAGAGAGTTTTTCTCGAATAACTTTCGAATTAGTCAAGATAGGAACAAACTAAGGGCATCATCGTGATCCTCTCGTCAATCCGCATCGAATGATATATATGTTGACCTCGAAAGGTCAAGGTCAAAGGTTGACCTCAGGTCACGTGACCTCGAGGTCATCATGTATATCATTCGATGCGTCTTGACGAGCTGAACACAATGAGACCATCCACGCGTCTGTATCTTGTTCCTGTACGGAGTTATTGGCCAAAAACCTTTGGTGACCTTTGATGACGTCACATGACCTCACAGCTGCCCAACAGCAAAACAGACCTCAAGGTAGTGAAGGTTGATCGTATATGAAGTCATGTATGGTATATGGGGCCATTCCGACCCGTTTTAGTGGTAAAAACAGGGAGTTGATTTTTCCCCCATTGACTTATAATGGGGAGGTCGCGAAATTGACCTGACCTTAGGTCACCGATATCAAAATTCCGAGATATACAAATTGCACATACTGGTACCCTAACTAAACCCTGAAGAGAAGAAATTGATCGGTCAAAAACTCTAGCTCTGGCGTGATTGCAAACTTTTCTGAGGTAGCGTCACCAAACCGCCTCTGGTGACCTGACCTGAGGTCAGATCAACTCAAAATTTTCAGACATGTTGCGTAGAAGCCTTTTAGGAAAAGTCAGAAAATTTGAGCTTCCTAGCTCAACGCGTTTGGGAGATATAACCAAAAAACCTCAGGGGGGGCTCCTGAGGCCCCCCCCCCGCCAGGAATAGGGTTAAGGCATTTCTCGATGTTGTGAGTGCCGAAACCGGTAATTGTGAGCCAGGGACCCCATTTTGGCTATCTCAACTCAAATCTAATGTTAAGGTGGGAGGGTCCCTTTAAAAGAGGGAGCAATTATTGAAATAAAGAAGTATATTATTTGAAAAAAAAGACGAATGATGTGCGATTGAATAGTGTCGGGCACTTCTAATGCCTAACTTCCAGATACAAAAATAAATAAAGCACTTCTCGATAGCTGATGGGAGCATTGCTAATTAGTGATAAACAAGTGCGGAAACACTAATCTCGGTAACATTTAGTCAAACATGACTTCCAAGAACTTCGACCATTCATTGAGAAAAAAAAATATTGAGTGTCTCAAGATATTCTAGGAGGGCGCTGACCATGCCGTACAAAACAACATAACAGACACAACTTCTTCCTCCGCCTGGTAAAAATGAAACTCTCGACATATATCTTTAAACTGCAGATTTAACGACGTTCTATATGAACTAACACGCCCACAGAGTTACGAGGGAAACTGCACTGGGGTGCTGCATGAGAAACTCTGCAAAATCTCACCGGGCGCCACAAACTTTCGATCGGGGTGAATGAGAACCACCATCACCGTTTGAGGCGACAGGACTCTCCATTGCGATCATCGGGGTGAATATGGCCGGATGTAACCGGTATGAACCGGTGTCGCCTGGCGTTGACTGGTAAGATCTGCTGTAAACCGGTGGCAACCATGAGAGCCTGAGTGGTGTAATATCTTGCTGGCGTGAGTTATACATATACAATTCATATTAGGCTGATTCCAATATCTAAAAAAAAATAGATACCCACCCAAACCCACAGAGACCTGTCAGTTATCAATGAGAAGCCTTGCTCCAGCTTCGTTATGTACCGAGACCCGTTCAAAGGGATCTTCGTTTCTTTTTCTGGCGAAAGCTCTTATCAGGATCAAAGTCAGATTTTGGTCCAAAGCACTTATTCGCAAAGGCAAAGGTTCGTCTCTTTACAGCGTTTTGTTCATCTATACACTGCACACTTGTGGTCGAATTATCACCCTAGTGGATGCTGCGCCGACCGATGGTGGCTTACGATACGGTATTAGGAACAATGTTGGGCATTTTTCGGTACGAGAGTTCTTCTCACACATGTGTCGTGCACCGTGTTCCTCATGGTGCCGTTCTCATCAGACAGCGCATCTATAACTTCATGTGCAGGCTGAGTACATGTGATAGTGAGCTGGTAAAAAAGACTGAGAATTCGAGTGCAAAATGCCAGTCTCGCCTGAGACGCCATTGGAACCAGCAACTGCATACGTTCATTTTAGCACATAGCTTAGCACGAGTGTTGTGACTTGCATGAATGAATGCATACTTGATAGTCGGTCATCTGACCACTGGCTGAAATAATCAAAATGTTAGAATTATGGACCTTGAGTCTGAAATAAAGCTTATCTATCTATCTATCTATCTGTCCCTACCAATCTATCTATATATCCGCATTTAGAAGTCATTTATAGAGGCAGGTATCCGTCAATACTCTTTTGACTTGAGTTATCAACTTGGTCATTAATTGACCACAATTGCTCAAATAAGCAGCCTCAAACATGCAAAAGTTGCTGAGCTCACCATAGTTAAAACAAATGAAGTCTACAATTCACTTAAACTGGAGCATTATTTACATGTAAGAACGTTCTAAGGCAACGTGTGTGGTACATGGATTCCTGGAAAATAATGACATTAACCTCACCATTATAGTTTATCCCGTAACCATAGTAGTTCAACCACCATAATTTTTATCCCTTTAAAATGAATTTAAAAGTTTTGGCCGTATATGCACTTATATGTCACATAATAGGTATGTTATGCTCGTTCGTACAAAAAAAAAACTAATAATGATAATAATTTTTGTTTCATGTTGGAATGAATATCATAACAATGGAATATATATAGATGTAATTCATGAGATGTAGGATGAGGATGACATTTTCACATGAGGACTATAGTTCGTTTTTCTTAAGTTTGCCCCTCACTGTAAACGTCTTTTTGAACACAGCACGAGAATTGCTAGCTTAATTACTGAGAAAACTGGTTGGCGCACATTGTATTGTAGATATGAATAATATTTTCAAAATAAGCTTTGAACACCGACGATTTAACGTTATGCTAAGCGCCGTGCAATTTATTTATTAGTTCAGACATAATTCCTGAGAAGTCGTCTATCCCTGTGGGGCTGTAGGTATTGGCAAATACGAGCTACGAGTCTGTGAAAAAGTAAATAAATTTGATCAAATTGATCGTCTGTCAAATCTGGTCAAATCAATGTGCGCCAACCAGTTTTCTAAGTAATTCAGCTAGCAATTCTCGTGCTGTGTTCAAAAAGACGTTTACAGTGAGGGGCAAACTTAAGAAAAACTAACTATAGTGATATGCGGAGTTTTGGAAACCCTAAGTTTGTTCTTGATGCTTAAAAGCTCTTTTTGAATTCATATTTTTCGGCAACAATGCCTGTACTTGTAAGTTGTAATAAAGTTCTACAAATTTTCAATGATGACCGTCTTATGGGTTACCGAAACGAATTCGTTCAACAGGCGATAAATTCTCATGTATTTATTTGTTTTCAGATTACACTTGCAGCATATGAAGTATGTAAAACGATGTACATGAAAATCGCAGATCAGACGCGTTTGTTTCAACAGCTCAGCAGACAACAAATAGGGCGTAGTCCTAAGCAATTCTAGCAAAAATGCGATATAATATAACAGTACAGGCACAGGGACATGCATAACAAGAAATAAATAACTCATTAGACCAGCCTGTCACACGATTTGAACAATAAATTGGGCAAATATTGCACGAGCGTGATAGCTACATTATGTGACAGGAAATAAGTAAGAGTGGTTGCGTACCAATGCAGAACCATGAAACGCATAAACTAAGCAGCAAAATGCAGTAAAACTATACAGCTACTTTGAAAATTCATACGGTGAGCAGAATTCACGGACAGTAAAAAGGAACTGGTGAAAAGGCGGGCTTCAAGATCACGAAAAATAATCTCATACAAATACATAGCACTAAAATTCAAACAGGCGCGTGATTAACCCACGCCCCACTGGGGTCTGTGTATAACACGCCCTACTGGGGGGGGGGCTATTCATAGCCCCCCTCCTAACTCCGAAACTACTGGGCCGATCGTCAAAATTCAAACGGCGTCTGATAGCCCCGGAAAAACTGTCGAGCGAAACCTAATTTCATTGACCTCGAGGTCACCGATGACGTCACAGGTCAGGTCAAAGTAAAAATTATTAGCACTTTGGCTTATTCACATTTTGGGCTCTGGCCGCCGTCTTACAAGTCAGATCAGGCTCATTTTTGGTTTCCACACTCATGAACAGATGCTCTAGATACCTTGAGGGTACCAAACTTGTACTTTGATTTTCAGGTCAGGGTCAGGTCATCACAGGTCACGAAAATATTATATCATGCGTCGGTCACGTGACACATGTTTTATGGTCCATTTAGGCCATAGATTTCGAATTTCATGTCGTCTGTGTCATTCGAGGTCATTTTGAGTCGAATTTAGCTTAGGTCAGGTCACTTTCAGGTCAAAAAAGGTCAAATTTTGAAGTTAAAATTTTTCAACAAAAAAGGTGTCTATTGGATGCAGTTTGAGGTCAGGAACACGATGGTGCCATTTATATTGGTGTACGATGTCAAATACGTACTAAAAAATTGATTTGAAAAATTAATAATTGTGATTTTTTGCAATAATGCGTATAACTTGGCCATTTTTGAAGATATTTAGCTAAAAATTGCTAGAGTTAGTCATATTCATGCGTTCTGTCACATATATTCCGGTTTTTTCGAAAAGTCAAAAACTTTTTGAAAAAAAATATAAAAATATAAATTTTGAATATTATCATATAAAATTTTCGAACTTTTCAAAATTTTGAAAATCCGAGATAGCAGTTTGATAGCGCGGTCAATTCTGAGTCCTTTCATGCAAAGAAATTGGATCTAGCTTAAAAACTGAGCTCTTGGGAGCGATTGCCGTGGTTCAATGTTTTGCGTCGAAATCGGACGAACATGACGTCACTCTGACGTCATTTCCGGCCGACCTATGGTAGCTACGAAGTTCAAATTTTGAGACAAGGTGTTAAATTGATGCAGCCGAAGGTACTGAAAGTTTGGCGTCGATCCGTCAAGCGGTTTGGAAGTTATTGCAGAAAAACGGGAGGGGGGGCTATAAATAGCCCCCCCCCCAGTGGGGCGCGGGTTAAAAGCCAACTGTACCATCAGCATAGAAATGAATTTCAGCTTTATAAAATGCAGCTGTATGCATACATTACAGCGTTAACAATTTGAAGAGTTGTGCTAACTAATCAAGTAAGACGATTGATATGTCGTGAAGCATTTTATAAGATTGAGCAATGAAAATGTGTTTTATGCACACATAAACAGCATTTATCAATAAAAGTCTTCGGCACACACAGAAGTTTCAGACTGCAATAACAATCCAACAATACCTACAATTTTTAGTGAAGTTTAACTACAAAAACGAAAATGAAAATCGTATTTCACTAATTTATGAAAACGATAAGAGAAACGCAACAAAACAAAATCTGAAGAAAAAACTGGCAAAAAAATACTGCTCTTTGAGCATAACTGGAGAAGAAAACGGGTAACGTCAACGACCCTACCTCATGATAAATTATCAACAAAACAGAACACACATATCACAATTCGGTCGTCATGGGTTCAACCCTTGACCACCTCACTGTCGCTTTACTCGGTGCTCCACGAGTCTTCAAAGTCCTTCTGGAGCTGGTTCATCCACACTGAGTGGTCCACCTCCCACTCGTCCGTGTCCAGGCCACGGCCGGACGAGTTGAAGTCGAGTGAGGCGAACGCGCCGACGAGCGCGCCGGTTCCCAGCCCGAACAGAAGACCCAGGAGGAGGTATGGCGCGAGCGACGCCGCTGGAAACGACGGACGGTGAGGGGAGGGGGTCAGAGGGGTCACCGGTGAGTGACGGCAAATCGAGCACGCCGGACCGTTAGAGTTACACCGATGAAAAGCAAGTCGAACTACAAAAATGGAACTGAAGCGGAGCTACCTAAGTAAACTAGACAAAACTAATTTCACTGCTGAGAGAGAGAAAGAGAGGGGGAGAGATGGAGGGTGACGGAGGAGAGAGAGAGAGAAAGAGAGGGGGAGAGATAGTGATTTTTGTCAAAATCATAACATAACATCATAACTCAATTATTTGTCAAAGTCGACTTTGAAGTAAAACAAGAGATTAAGCACGACTTCAATACAATGGGATCGTACGTCCCTCAACATCAAAAGCGAAACAAAATCACATCTAAGACAGTATTTACATGACGCTAAACTAAATGTTTTCAACTAAAGCCTCCCAATCCCCGTACCTGAAATGCCACCGGTGGTGGTGGTTGGCGCTGCGATCAGAGGACCTGTCTGGAACCCGGTACCGAAGCCGGTTCCCGTTCCCGTAAACTGACGACGCGTGGCACCGAAACCGAACAGCTTCTTGAAGATCCTGCCGAAAAAGGAGTTGAACGTCTTAGAGGTGGAAATAGATGGTTTGTTTAGGTGTTACTGTGAATTGTATTGCTGGATATTTCGTTGGTTATGTTTGGCAGGCAGCACGCTTACACATGATATGTGACTAGCACTTAGGCATCACACATGAGTGTGAATAGAAAGTGTGTACTACAACGCAGGTGATTTACATACCTGACGCCCCTTATAGCTCCTTTACAACTTTGGTCGAGAGTAAGCTTCCGGGATACGGTGCATTGAATTTTACGACAAAATTTAGCAACGAAAGCGTAGTTTTTCTTCTGGGGCGTATCCTGTCATAAGTCACGGCAGTTATGACATTGTAGCGCTGTTTTAGAGCGTCCTTGGTAATTTCCAACTCAGCAGTGGTTGAGAGAGACTCGGCATTAAGCAGGCGTGTCAAATGTTGACCGCTATCCATTAGCAAGGTGGTGTGAAACCATGTCGGCGCATTTCTATTTTTATGCGTTAGAAAAGGTGAAACGCAACGTGAAACGCTGCAATGACTAGGTTACGGCTAGTTGCTTACTTGATAGCACAGACGCTAAGGATATACCGTGCACAAAATATGTGATACCACAGTACAGGATGTCGTTTTGACATTGTAAATAGTGTCGGGAGCAGCATCACACACAAACATTCCTGCCAAGTGTCAACACTATTGGAGCCATGCATAACCAACCCCCTAGTCCACACTCAATTTAGCATTACTCCTTATCCCACCCCGTCGTACACCTTATCCCGCCCGTCTTCCCCGAACAGTCTTACATTACCCACCACTCCCCCCCCCCCCTATCCACCCGGTCTTACCCGCTCAGTCCCGACTGCTGCCGCGCGGTGCGTCGTTTTTGACTGCTGTAATAATTTGGTGACGGTGCACCCTGGTCGTAGGAACTCTCCTGGCTGTAGTCTGTCTCGTAGTTCTGGTAGTATTCGCTGGAGTCGGCGACAGCCACGGCGGCCAGGGCCAAAAGGAGGATACAGCCCAGCTTCATTGCTCCTGTTGGTGTAAATATGGTGTGATTTTACACCCAGCTGTTGTGCTATGCGAAACGAATGAATATTTTAAAAATCAATGCTTTGTTCTGTATGTAGGTTGAATGCCGAGAGACCGCAATTATTTTAAATGTCTTTCGGAGCCAGGGAACAGAGTAAGTGAGCGATAGCGTATAGGAAAATTTATTCAAAGTTATGTCAAATTAATTGATTAACTAAGAAGCATAACTCGCGCGTTTCTACTTAGTTCATTTGGCTTGGATCTCAAAATTTGGTATGAGCTCTTTTATTCGAATATGTATTTACAAAGTGAAGAACAGATTGCTTACGATTAACAACAATGCTTTATGCGATAAGTTGCAAAAACTGTCAATTATTATAGCTACGAAAAGTTTTATATATTCCCGACCGGGGCTGGGAAAATGCGTTTTATTCACCGAGGTTTTTGTGCGGAGGACCGAGTGCCGGTAGGCACGAGGTCCGTAGCAAAAAACCGAGGTGAATAAAACTGCATTTTCACAGCCCAAGGTTGGGAAGAGATTTACCACAAAGGCCTACCGGCGCAACAGTTAATATCATATTCATTTGATATTTTACACTTTAATCTTAATATTGTGTTAATATTATATTAGTACTATGTTCATATTTATAGTCACCGTGATTATTTTTTGTGTTTTTCATTATTGGGCTGCGTCGAGTATGAAAGATGAAATTCCTACTTCCCCCTTATTTAGGGTTTGAAAAAGCTGAGGATGAAGATGGTGAAGCGCCAGAAGTTAGAATAAAGATATGGAGTCCAGCAGGAAAGAGGAAACCGTGAGGAAAACTGAAAATTGGGTGAAACGCTGAATCAAACGCGTCTTGGATCCCAGCTGGAACAATATCAAATGTTACATTGTGGCACGTTAAGATGCTTCACGCATTTAAATTGATCGTTTTTTGCGTGCATTATGTAGAAATAATTATGATTCTGATTTCCGACCATGTTCTGCAGCAATAAATACATTGGCATTGGAACGATAACCTTGTTTAGTTGAATTACGTTGACAGCAAAAGTAAGTAAACACGCAGTGGCAGTCACTTACTTTTGCTGTTGCTGTTAGTGAACACACAATCCGTAAATATCTCCTTTGAAATTGGTTCTTCCGCTCAGAATATTCAATAAAATTTTGTCTGGGAAAATCAAAAAGCCCTAGGGCCGAATCGTTTCCCAAATACCTTCAACATTAGCCGAGGCGGGCCGAAGCCATTTCCCAAATACACGTGCTAATGTTAAAGGGATATCTCGGCATGTGGTAAAAAGCATTAAAACATCCTGACCCAAGAATTATGATCCAAAAAGGTCAGTAATTGACGACAAATGCTCTGTGATAATGCTAGTTCACACAACTTCAGCCTGCCCAAGCCTCAATCAATTTTAGATGGGCTATATTCTCAATTATTAATTCACAAACCTTTTGGGAGATTCTTAAGTAAGCTGCATTTATTTTTCAATTTAGTTTCCTGTTCCTTAGGTTAGTATCTGGCAACTTTGTCTAGTGGTGGTGCAGGCTTGGATTTCATCCGAAGGAACAAGGCGCTGGGCCGACCAAATCCTGATAAATTATTCTTACTCCAATTTACTACAGCCCGGCAATCACAAGTTTTTTTTATATTTGCCAGTAATTATAATCGAATGACCGTTTAGAAGCAATGGCTGGAAAGCGTTGCCTTGTGTCTGATAATGATAAATAAAGCGTATATTTCCCACATGATAAAATGCTCATTTTATTATCGACTGCCAGCCAGTAAAAGGCATTTTCTTCTCTGTTTTGTCAGTAGCAAAAAAAAAAGTAGTAATCTGTTAGAGAGTTGCGCGACGGATCCGACCGCGGGCAGACTGCCGACTACTGCCTTCGACTAGAAATATCAGAAATGTCGCTTCCTCCACAGTTGTTGCTTCGATTGCAAAAGCAAATTGTATCTACCTATTATCTAATGATTTTTTTTTCTCGCACAACTTTGCCACACCATCCATCGATGAGTTGTCCTCACCTGTTTGGAATCCAACCGTTCTATCCAATGGCTCGCACTCGTATTCCTCTCGCGTCCTCCCGAGTGCGTCCTCCCTGCGCGGCGTGTCCTCCCGCCTCCCCGTGCACCTCGAGCCGTCCGACCAGCGCGTCAGCCACCGTCTCACCGACCGACACACAGCCAACTGTGCCAATCAGTGCAACCGGGCCGCTTTTATGCACAGTTTTCACTAGTTTTGTCACACTTCTGACTCGTCTTTTCTGCAATGTGGCCAACGATGGGCGTCTTCAGATGGAATAACCACATTACTCCCAGGCGTTGCGGCGAGGCGCTCGCGCGGGTGCATTAGCGCGCGCGACGGACCGACGCGACCTGAGATGAGTTGGCACTCTGTCTAGAGCGCGTGCGACACATGTTGGAAGGGAGGGGCGCCGGAGCATGACGGTAGATCTGGTGAAAAGAGGAGGACAGCAGGACAGACAGTGATCAATTGATGTCGGAATCGGGTGCTACTTCATCCGACGATGACTTTTGTGAGCTCAGTTTTGCTCACTGTGGTTGTTAGGTGATTTGTCAAAGCTGGCAGTGTCATTGGTGTACTGTCAAGGACGTTTCGCTTTCATTTGACCGGATAGTGGAACATTGCTGATAGGAAGCGTTACAGTTTTGAAAACGATTAATTCACACTATGATGAGTGCCGAATAGCCCCACATGATGGCTGATAACCGTTATACTGTTGCGATGCAAAACATTGTAAAGAGAACAAGTTTTTGAACTGTGATCACTAACAAGTCCCATCCGATGTTTTCAAGGCGTTTCATATCTCGTCGAAAACCGATGGCCTGTTCCATTGGTGTATGAATGGCTAGGCTAAAATGCAATGGATTTTGGGTGCCTCCATTTGTGGCACAACCACTTGACATTGAGCGCTGTCACCGTACAGCTTACTATAGCTACTTTAGCTACAGCTACTTTGTGTTTCATTTTGGTATGAGAATGCAGTAGTAGGTATTGTCCGTTCCATATCGTTGCAAGAAGTTAGTTGAATCAGCATCGCGCGAGGTATCATCTCAGGCCGCGACAACTTTAATCAACCTTCAACCACCAGCCTTAGACCGTCAAATTGAGGTCAGTCGGCAATCCATTGGATGCTAGCCACCGAGTCCACTGCTGTTAATCCCTACCGCCAGCGCGGCGCTAATTTTCCCACGGCCGGAGTCAATTCTCCCACGGTTGGAGTCAATTTTCCCACGGTCGGAGTCAATTTCCCACGGCTCACATCCGACGTTGGGAGCCGGTGGCAGACAGCGGATGGACGTCTGGTGGGCGGGGGCACTTGCTGCAGCAGAGTGCTCACACCCAGGAATGCTGTTGAGCATGAATATACTGTCAATGTCATTCATTGATACATTCAGCGATGCATCTATCTTCATTCTATTGGGCGGTGCATTCGTTCATTCATTCATTCATTCATTCATTCATTCAACGATGCATGCTGACAAGCATGAATATACTGCCAAGTGCCAATGTCATTCATTGATACATTCAGCGATGCATTTAACTATATTCTATTGGGTGATGCATTCGTTGATTCATTCATTAATTCATTCAACGATGCATTCATACATTCTTTCATTCAATCAATCAACCAATAAATAATTGATTCATTCACTGATATGTCCGCTTATTCGCATCCTTCATATATAATTCAATCACCAATCAATCATTTGCGTATACATTCATACATCATGGTGTGTCAAAAGGGGAAATAGCCGGTGCCCCGTCTGGCAACCCGGCAGCCCGCCGCCATAGGGAAATTCATGCTTTTTGTCGCTTTTTCGCTCCTTATGAGTCACTTGATCTAATTAGAGCTTAACTAGGAACGAGGCGGGTCACTTGGACGTATTCGGGAGCCGAATGCGGTGTTTTGGAGCCAATACCTGGGAAACCCTATCCGCCCAATGCGAGTTTTTAAGAGTCTGCATGTCCAAATTAACGTTGAGCGCGGCCGTTTTCGGTCGGTTTTCCGCGACCTTGTGGCGAAATCGCCTTATTTATTCAACCAGGGTGGGCTAATTCGCTTAACTAGGAATGAGGCGTTGAAGAGAATTGTTCAAGGAATAGAGCTGTGCAAAAATATTTTTTTGTATTGTTAAAACTGTATCCGCCCTCGAACGATAAATATTGTTGACCCATTAGAAACACATCCCCTAGGATGCGTTTGGACTTGGCTGGATCTAATATTAGCGAGTATCTGCTAATGCAGTTTCTTGGCTTACACAGTACGCACACAAGCATACATACTTCCTGCCCTTGGTTATTCCTCACTTGAATGAAAATTTTGCTGTAATAACTATTCCCAGCAGTTAACAGGTTTTAGTGCAGTGCCAATTCGGAACCGTTCAGCGCCGCCATTCGGCGGCCGGCGGCGGAGCGGCGCCGCCGCGCCGGCCGCAGCGCCGCCGCTCTGGCAGGGTGTTTGACTTCACATCTCTGTTGCTAGAAAAGTTGTGGACCGATTTACTTGATTCTTGCATGAAAAGATCCGCCATTCAATTCTTAGCAGGTAACGAAAATTTGACGTCAATTGCACGATCTGCTGCCCATATTGTGGTACTGCCATCTATTGACAAGGCTGGCGAACTAAAGCCGGGCGGCTATTTCCACTTTTGACACACCATGTTCTGTAGCAAAGCATTTCAAGTGTCTTTATTCATGCCTAACGTACCTAAGAAATAATGTTTTCCACATCAATCTTAACTGTTGTAAAAATGCAAAATATCCAACCCATATTTGAAATGGTAACAAAAAGACAGATGGCATGCATGCGAGCAGCTGCCAGGCTCAGAAGTCTGCAGTCTGCACTGACCTAGGGCTGTGCCCCCAAATGGATCCATGTCACGCCACCATGTGTTTGGGTTTTCATGTGTCGTATGTAGACTGACGCTGACGGAAGCTGTAGCTGTGGGTCGATGGAGGTTCGTCGCCGAGGGATGGAAGGTTTCCGGGAGACCAGGGTGGTGGGTTACATCGCCTTGCGCCCATGGACGAACGGGGAGTCGGTTCAGAGTTTCGGGAACTTTTAGCGCAGGAAGGTACGTATGGTAAGGTGTGGATGGACGCTGCTAGGTAGGTATATTTGCTTGCTTTCTGCTAATCTGGTACTGTCTGATGCGTGCAAAAGGTGATCGAGGTTTTTTGAAAGTAAGTTGTTTCACACTTGTAAGTTTGTTTACAACTTGATTTTGTAAGAAGTTGTTTACGATTTGTAGTTGTTGATTGCTTGCTTGAGTTACGTAGGGAGGGTCAGCTATGTTACATGGAATGTCTAAAGAGTTGATTGGTTAGTCTGGGGCAGACGCGGTGTACCTTTTCGTACATTATTTGTAAACGTTGTTACATGTTTTATTATTTCAAATAGCGTAATTCGGAAGGTCAGTTCTACTGGCCACTCAACACGCGATTGTAAAATATTGAAGCGGAGTGGAGCGTAAGAACGCTTTCTTCTAACTGGGCACCCTGGTCACGTGAAGACGAGCGGTAACCGGCGTGCGAAAGGTAAAAAAAAAAAAAACACGAAGAAAGTAATGCGATCTTTTTTGTCAAAATTATAGGTAAATATCCTACACTGGTTTCCTTCAGCTCAACGATACGGAACGAGAGACGAAAATGACCTCTTTGCGTCAGATCATGCAATGACCTCGATCATAATATGCAGTTTATCTTTCAATGTCAAATCTTATCGACATGACACGCTTCGACGGGATAAAACGATGCTGATAAAAAATCAATTTCTTGCATTCATTTTGTCAAGATCGCAAGTATCGCAGATCACAAGTATGTCAAGTATCGCAGAAAACTTTTCCGCAAAAAAAAAATCATGAGCTATGGATGGACCAATCTTTTCGAGATCGTCAATAACGATCGAATTCGACGCTTGGAGCTTGGCGACAACTCTGGTGACCAGAGGCATTTTAACTGCAGAGGTATATTGTGATTTTTTTAGACCTTTTGGCGGTTGCTTTCCTTTTACCGGTACGTTTTGCCCAGAAGCTGAGTTACAGAAAGGTGAAAAATGTGATAAACGATGTCAAACGCTGAGAATACCCCTGCAAACTAACCAATGTCGTTATCGAACAGGCGTCACCAAAACCCAGGGTTGGCATTTTTGCCGGCAAAAACTAGTTTTTGCCATTTGCCGGTTTAAACCGGTTTTAACCGGCATAAAGTGGCAAAAACTGGCAAAAACTTAAACAGTCAAAACGCTATGCCTCTACATGCGTTTGAGCAGAACACGTTTCAAGTAGGATTCAGTCAATACAATATGCTTTCAAACAGAAGTGGTATCTTGACCATTTTAGTGTTAAATAGTTCCGTGGGTCCTCTATAATTAACCAATAAGGCGCCTTTTTGGTGAGACAAATGAGAAAGTGCGCCGGCGGGCGGCGAGTATTGAAGTGGGAAAGGGCATCTGCCAATGACTTGTGCACCGGACCCTACGAACCGGTTCCCAACAGTGTCAGTGCCAAATTTGTGCTTAGTCGACGTAGCCGTTCTCCCAATCTGGAAGCGTCACCCCGCACGTGCGCACGTGCAAAATGGACCCTGACCGACTATGCACGACACCCTACTAATCAGTCCCTAACGGTGTCCCAATTTGAGCGTAATCGACCCAGCCATTCTCGAGGTCTGGGAAACGACTCCTGCATATGCTCATGTGCAGAAGCACACCAACAGCGATGCATGAAATTGCACTTCCTGGTGGACATGTATTGACTACCGACAGACATTTTAAGCAGCGGTAAACTAGCAAGACAATGCTTACTGGGTCCCAATGACAGACATGACTTTGTACATTTCAATCGATTGCTTTTTAGGCAAGCAACGCAGTTTTGGCCACTTGAGTTTTTGCCAGTTTCTGCCAGTTTTTGCCACCATGGTTTCTGCCAGCCGGTTTAAACCGGTTAAAACCACTGGCAAAAACCAGTTTTTGCCACCCCCTGCCAACCCTGCCAAAACCATCAAATCAACCGGCGGAGACTCTATCCCAGCCATGGCCCGCCGTTTGACCCCTGGAGAGGGTCATTCGGCGACCCGCGGCGGCCTCCTTCGTCTCCTGATGGTGCTACTTCTCTCCCATCACAACAACGGCTGTATGGAAGTTCCAATTAAAGACCTCCGTCTTGAAGCGAAGTTCGAGATCGCTAGTTACACCTACGCTGACCCGATTGGAAGCTGCAGATGCTGCGGGCTCTGCCATCAGCACAACTGCTCCAGTTTCAGCGTCAAGGGTCTGGAGTGCATCCTGTACAACAGTGTGGGGAGCTACGACACAGCCGTCCAAGACAAAGGCTGGGATTTGTACATCATGCCAGGTCGATCCACACATCATCAGTTTTGTTCGGATGACTCCGACTGTCTTGAAGCTGGAGATATATGCAGAGCTGCAACCTGCAACCAACTTGAAACGATCACGTGCCAAGTGATCTACGACACCCTGGGGGCCGGGGAACGTGTCGCTACCAATGATAGAAAGCATGCGAAGCTGCCTGGTTGGCTAAATGGGGCGCCCCTTCTCCTAGGCTGCTTCATGTATAGCGGAAGGGGCTACACTCTTTTAGTCAAGTCGGATAAAGACCGTCTCTTTAGCCACAACGACATCATGAGTCGCAACGAGGATCACAGGGGTCACGCCTACTCGATCCTACGGCTAGGTCAGGACATTGTCGACTTGAGAAGCACGTCCACCTATCACATGATCATCATGGTCTCTGGCAGCGGCGAGAGAAGGATGGAACTGGAGGTGCCCAGAACCGAACCCGTGCTAGCAGCGCAGTTCAGATCACTCAGTAGCAAAGCTACGGTGATCAGGGATGACTTCAGCATTGCGCCTTTTGTAGGACTTCTGTGGAAAGTTCCGGATACCGGGGAGGCTCAGATTCTGACCATGGCTGATCTGTCCAGCTCAGAGTTCAACTTCGGAGACATTGCTCGAAAAGATGGGATCATTTACCTTAACCAAATCTACAACAAGGTGAAGGTTCTTATTTCGGAAGAGTGACGAAGTTACTCATGCCAGCGCTTGTAAGACTAAGGTTGGCATGTAGATGTTGGGCTTCAAGTTCATTGACAAGAAAACTCACTGACAAACCTAAGAAAGAACAGATTAAAAGCGCAACCGTCATTGATGCAAGTGCCTTTATATTGCCTAAAATATATCCGAAAACATTTCTCTCGAGGTTTTTCGCACAACTTTTCTCCGAGCCATGCAATTTCCCGTGATAAAAACACGAGCAAAGTGATGCAGGCGCTTTCACTCCATTCTTTCTTAGGTTTGCCAGACTGTAGTGTGCAAGACACACAAGCACCCTGTGGCTTGGGACTTGTGTACGTGTAGTTCATGAAGCGCAAACCACACCGACTGATGCGAAATGCTGCTATCGGCGCAGCCCACAATTCTAGTTGCTTGAAACTGACAGGTCATTGACGTAAAAACAGCGAGGGAGTACGAACAATAACATTCCGTCGTATTTCAAATGCACTTTATTGAGCCTCAGTTTGTGACATATGAAATAATAGGCACGAGGTCGTGTTGTTTACCTCTTCTCAAAGGACAGAAGTCACTGGAGTTTTCGTACTACGGTCTGCACCAGACTGAAAATAGTACCTGTATAGTGTATGATAACCAAACACACAATCATGTCTTTTCAGTTGCATATACATAATAGCTCTTTTTGGGGAAAGTGTGTTATCGTGCATAGTGTTAGTTTGACTTCGCATGTCAGTGGGGGTCCACCTTGTTGGTGAGTACTTGAATAAAAAATAAAAATAAAGAAGTTTGACCCGTACACTGCGTTCTGCAATGACCATGTAACTTGAGTATAAAATACACAGAATTGCGCAGTTAAATGGTCTATGGATATAAATCAGTCAAAAATTTGAAAGCTGGACATTTACAGAGCATGTCTCGATCTCACCAACACAGGGATAAATGTCATGGCAGGCGAAACAGGAGAGGTACGACAAAACAGAGACGGAGGAGAGAAAACTGCGTAAAAACTGCAATAGATGCATTGCACAACACATTTATTTTTTCACAAAGTTTACAAAAATGTTCAGTTCAAGACCATCAAAATCATATCGAATATCAGTTAGGTAATAATTCACTCTTTCAGACAAATGCATTGGTGGGAAAGATTTGTACCATATTTGGATACGAGTAAGCTTTCGTCCAATGTAAGTATCAGAGCCATTCCCACAGCATTATGGAGAAAGTTCTGCCAGACACTCAATGAAAACTTCATGTGGTGGCATTTACTTCTGAACGAAACATATCACCACAAAAAAAAAATACAACAAAGCAGAAACACTTTTTAGCTACCTCACGATAGACATTAATCCGCTAACACAAACTACGTAATCACGATTGAAAACGACCGTATTACACGAGTCATATCGTGCTTAAATGACATAAATCCGTCATACTGGCAATATCAAGAACAATCACTCACACACATACACTACCTGCAAGAGTAACTGCAGGCGCACATGCCTATTTCACGTTTTATTCAGCTAGCTATTGGACGGGAACACGCTTATTCGGTCGGCGATTTGAGACGTACATTTCGTGACGGTCAAACATAAATTTCGGCCGATTCGACGTTGGCTGCCCCCGGGCCCCTCACCTAGTGAGGACCTTATCTACTCCCCCCCCTCACACACATACACAGACACACATAAACACAGGCCCCTCACGAGTGTGGTGAAGAGTCGGCAGTCAGGGCGGCCTGAACCAAAACCTGGCGCACGGCGCTCTGCACGGTCCGAACAGCGCCCGCAGCGCCACCTTCCGTCAGCGGCACGTACTTGTAGTTTGTAGTAGGATTGATAGTTAGCGCCACCTCCGGGAGGGCTAGAATTGCTGCGTTTTCCTCCAAAAGGGCCACCCGACGAAGGTAACCCCTGGCGAGGCGTCTGATTACCGACAGATTCTGTGAAATACGGGAACAAAAGAGTGAAAAACGCTGCCACACAGACTTTGAGAAATTGTATGTTACTTATCTCAGGTTTTTAAGAAATACATGACGGACTGAAGTAAATGATCCTGCACTGTTGAAAAATGATCCGTCTTGCTATCGTTTACATAAAGTCGTGATAGCGTAAAACTTCGAAGCTCTTTAATGTCAAGATTCTAATAAAGTAAAGAGCATGATACACACAAAAATTATAAAATACCCAACGATTATCATAATCACGGCACCACCACGACATTCTTATAAAGTCCGTCTTTAGCCAGCCCTCTCCCCTCACAAACACACAGGTACTACACCTTTTTGCGTTGTTCGATGGCCAATCGTCATAACCATTTCGGCATCAGTTTGGACAAGCGTCATTCAGGATAACCCATCGGCGATGTGCATCACTGTTTGACGGTCGGCAAAACAGGCTGGACTCCATTTAACCATTCTGCATAACTCTTTGTCATTGAGCACAATGTTCGTCATAGGCAAAACACTTTGTCAGATTGTCATAATGCTTCGACATTTCACAAAATGGTTAGTCGATGTGCAAAATTCATCGGTACTGTGCGTAAACAATGACTGTTTATTTAAAACTTTCGTCAATGATCAAAATGTCAATGATGTAGTGCTTTTCTAGCCATATTCAATGTTTAACGTTAATCACGCATTCAGGGATGAGGCTTATGACAGTTCCAGCGCAATTTGCAACCAATTAACCATTGAATTCCGAAAAAGGCAGTTATACCATAGCTACGAGGAGACTGCCGGCGCCATACCGAGTAGGCATGTAGATTCTTGAGCGTCGGGCTCCTAAACGCTTCGATACAAACCACGAAGTCGGCCGTCATTATCGCGTCACTGCCCGTGCGATGTCATGGGACAACGCCTCGGGCGGCCGCGCCGGTCGGACTCGCGAGGGAATGGCTGACAAATGGCGAGCCGGGCCCGGTCGGACGGGCACCTTGGTGTTTGGGACGGGGCCAGGGCTGGAAAAAGTGATTCGGTGGTTGTCGTCCAAAGGAAAACGGGCTTATTTGGTTGTCAACTCAAGATGTCCAGCCCGCGCCCCGCTGAGGGTCCTTGATTTCCACGCCCTGCTCGGGAGGGGGGGGGGTCAAACAACCCCGCCCTTTTAACTCGGATCCTGGGTCACGTAGTGACAAGCTGTAAACGGCATTCGAAAGAACGTCCAAAATAAGGGCGAAAATATGACATTCGTTTTATAGGCTAAGTCAAAGGTCAGGTCACCGGAGTCATGAAAGATATTGCCTTTCAATATTTTTTTTTTTTTAACACCGGCGCATAACTCGGGAACCAATTATATAGAGCTGTACAGCACCGCGGAAAAGATTAGACAGCCTTTTTGACCCTTTCGGTGACCCTTCAACGGTGCCACTGGTCGACTTCCACTCACCTTTGAACAAAACGTGCTCAAGTTGGTACACTTCAGTCGTGCAGACGCCACGTACCCTGCGTGCGAATATATTATAATTCCGCTCCTTTTTGATAGCGCAGGGCGCTCAGCCGTCAGGCTCAACTGTCCGACGATCCGTGTTCTTCGACCTCTGAAGTCCTGCAAGTGCAGAGCCACCATATCCTCGTGGGCATGACATGGCGTGCCCTCCCCTCGGCCTCACCAAAACATTACCGGCACTGACACGGTCCACTCAAGATGTCCCGCCGCGGACCTACCCCCAGGCGCCACCGGGGGGGGGGGGGTTTTGACGTCACAAAAGGAGCCCCGGCGGATTAGAGGGGACGCTAACTGGCCGCCGGCCGGGGGCGCACTGTAGGCCGGCAGCCTGAAAAAGCGCTAGAAATTCCCCCAAACTGACTGTCCGCAATATGAACAAAATAGGTATCATTTAATCCCAAATTGATCGAAGAATACGATTCCGATGCTCGTTTTGCCCTAAGGTCAAAATTGAGGCCGTCAGTTGTCATCAAACACAAGACAATTTAGACTCTCTATAGGCCACCACATTTACCGATTTTAATGATGAACTTTAGTGGTAATTTATTAGTTGACCAATCGTCGTTTTGAACGAAATTTCCTGTCAGACTAGTTCAGGGCACTGTTGTTCACTGTGCCAACATCATTCTGACATATTGCATCGCTTTTCTGCAAGATAAGCTAGCTGTTTGCAAGCAGCTGCAAGACGTAATTTAAAATCATATCCAATTTTTTAATTAGACTTTTATAAAAACGTTATTTCGAGCGGCTAAAAATGAACATTCCATACTAGCCTCTGATTACTCATCTTTTGTTCCATATAGGTGCTTTGCTGCTTTTCCCTGCTACTTTTCGAGATATGCGCCAGTAAACCACATGATGTAGGGGCAATTGTCACCTCGCCGCTCTACTGAAGGCCCGGCGCTCTTTAAAACGCTGGAAGTTGTGAAAAACAAACGCTTATAATCTAAATGAAATATATGTCCCTGAGCTCAGAATTGATCAACGCACACAATGCTGTCAACATTTCTGGGCCAAACTAAAAAACTCAGTCATTATTAACCCCTAAACACAAGTCAGTGATAATCAACAACAACTTGCTCTTTAGTTAGACTTTTTGAGAAATGTTATTTCGAGCCGTTAAAAATGGCCATGCCATACAAACCACCAATCATCTTTCTGTCATGCCCTACTCGCAATTTTTGCTAATGCCTGCTACTCTTCGAGGTCACGTGACTTCACCATTAAAAGTGAATGGGGAAATAAGGAAACTGTTGTTTTTGCGCATGGAATGATTTCAAACTATCTCAAGCACACGGAATCGTGATTTCGTGCACTCCTTGCAAGATCTGATGCTTTACTTTTGCATTTTTGACCTTCCGTGACGTCATTTATGACGTCACACCGGTCATAGGAGCATGGGTGGAGAACCTACCCCGGCCACCCCGGCCGTGGCCGGGGTAACTTTCAGCCAACCCCGGCGCGGCCGGGGTAACTTTTTCACCCTTATAAATCCTAAAACCTGTCTCCAACCGAGAAAAAGCTGAGTGCTGCCTACAAAAGTGTCTCTCTTCACATTTATCTACCTCTTAAAGTTTTTGAAGATCTATTTATTTTGATTTTGGGACTTCTGGGCAAATATTTTATCGCTGAGCCCGATAAGTTTGATCAACGTGCAAAATAAAACGATATTCAGGGGTCGTTATCGTAAGATCACCTTACAATAATATCACAAAAGAAAACAGGTCTAGGGTAATATCAGTGAGACAAAATGGGTAGCATCGAAGATCTGCGGGGCTTAAGGCTCCCCCAACTTAACCGGCGCCAGGACGGCGGCGCTATCGAAAACGTTGAGGCGGGAGGTAGAGTAGACGTTATACGCCTTTTAAACTCGGCTGCTGGGTTGCGTGGCGGGGAGTGGCAACGCCGTTTTAAAGAGTGCTAAACATAAAAAGAGAAATTTCGTCATATTTTAGGCCAGCACAAAAGTAAAATCACCACAGGACATTAAAAGTCAAATTTTCCCTTTTATAGCGCGCTTTGACAACTTTTCTTCCAGCTTGTGATTTAGAGGACCTAGAGGCTAGAACACTGCAAACAAAACATTTGATAGCTCTTTTAGGACTTGCTCGCGAGTAACATTTCAGGTGAACATGAAAATTAATCGCTTGTCTTCAAGAGGGTCACAACTCAAATTTAACATTTTTGTGTGGAAAAAGAAAGTTTCGTCTTTCTAGGAAATACCCAAGCTCTGCAAATGACATGAACGCAGACTTTTAAAGCATGGTTATCTAGCAAATTCGACCTGATGTCCTGACCCTAGGTGACCTGGGAGCGAAATTCAGAACCGCTATGGGAAACTGATTTATTATAACCTTAACTGAATTTCACACAAATGCTTGCTGCGGTTTCACCTACACACGTAAAAGCAACTGGGGACTAAGGCTAGAAACGTCCCCGGCCCCCAACACTATCGTGATTCGTGAAAGTTGAGACGAGTTCACTTGATGTGACCTGTTGGCCTGATTTGAATGAGCTGAATTAGGATAAAACGTTCATCCTTGAGCAAATACAACATCCATTAGCCCGGTTTCAATGGACACCTGTGATCCGGATCAGCAAAAGTGGATTAGCTAATCGATTAAAATTAGCCAGTACATGAAAATTTGAATAAGGGATTAACTGATTACCATAGCCTAATCCACTTTGAATTATAACCTGTAACGAAGAGTTCGAGAAATATTATACGATTTAAATTTACTGATCCGGATCACGAGTGCCCATGGAAACGTGGTCATTATTTCATTCAACGGAGAATGGGTTTGTTGATAACCGTTTACAAATACTATTTGAGCATGTCGTCTTTCCCATGAATATCAGTCGCCGGTCGGGGTAACTTTTTCAAACATTCTCCACCCATGCATAGGAGTTTCTCGTCAATAACTCATGATCAAATTGAGCCAGCGACTCGGGAAAGCCACCAATGGACTCGGGAAGACCTCCCGAATCGAATGATATGCGATACGACCTCCTTCGATTAAGTTCGTGGCCTGGTGGGCTCTGAACTGACCTTGACTCGAGGTCAATACCTTAAGTTGACCTCACCCGAACAAAAAGTATACCATTCGACGCGCCTGAGCCAGGCGAACACGATGGTGCCAAAATCGCTGCTCTACGGCCATTTTTTGCGAAATTATTTGCCAAAAACCAAACCCTACCTTGGGCTTTTTGACTTCACCTCAGAGGTTACCGGTTGACCTGGGACCTTAAAATCGGGTATCAATCGTTCCGCCTTGAAACGGCGCACACGCTTGTTTTTTTCCGCGAGGCTCTAGCTCCATTAGGGGCGAAACGGCAAAAAGGGGTCTTACCAACCCTCCCCCCTCGGCCGGCCGAGGGGGTGGGGGGTCCGACAATAGGTCCGGCGAGGGTTAAGCAGCCCCACTTCGTTTTTAGCATGTTTGCTTGTCACTGAGATCAACAACTCAATCACAAATAATTTCTAGCACTTTTCCGGACCCCCGGCCCAGTGTGGGGCGGCGCTGAAGGGTGCGGGCAGGGGCCGGCCGAGTCCTGGAATGTACTAGATTTGCCAGACACGTGTTGCCAGCGGACAACCACGGCGACCACTTGGTATGCCATTGGTCGTCTTTATGAGGGTCGCCGATCGGCCGTCCGAACGATGGTCGAACGACGCAGTATATACTAAATAGCTACGGGGAGTTGGAATATGTCTGTAGCTACCAGGAAATTTTCCACTGGGATGCCGCCACGTACGGGAGGTAACGGACTCGAGAACTGCGAGTCGATGTGATGGGGAGGGACAGAGAATAGTTTGCGTGGGCAGAGGTGATTGGGTTGCATGGGCAGAGGCGGATGGAATGTGCGCTTCTAACCGCACTAAGCGGAAGGAGTTAATCAGTTCAGGCGCTGCGCGTGGTGGCCATGAGATAGTCTTCTGGGTTGTCGTCGACAACGACAAAACGATACAATTTTTCACCCCTGGACGGGGCTGACTTATCCAGCCTGTTGCCTGTTCCTTGGTGTTTGAGGCGGGGTTAACTTATCCAGCCTGTTGCTCTGTTGCCTGCCCATTTTTCAATCAGCCGATAACATGTCAGCTACGTCCATCTACATTGTACCTATGGCGCTCATGAACGCTACCGATTTTTATGTGGATCAATGGTCTACGAGTTTCGCCACCTATGCCTCGCACTGCACTGTATAAACGCGGTCATATTTATACTTCTCTGTAAAGGGGCGATCTGTTTTTAGTTTTGACGAAATGTTATGAGGAATGCCGAAATTAGCACGGGGATGTTTTGGTGAACGACGAAGGGATATCAACGAATGACGAAGCATTTATCCAAATCGTCAAAGGTTTTGCCGGAACTCAATCAGTTATGGCGAATAGCGAAGGTAATACCAACTGACGAACTGTGGAGTGGGATCAGCATTCCGTTTTGCCCATATGCTGAAGGTTTTGCCGGAATGCCTCTCACTGGCGCCACCTATGTGCTGATCGGACGAATGGGTTTTGCTGATTGGCCATCGAACAACGCAAAAAGGTGTACTAACCTGTCTGAGTTTCTTTCTGTTGTTGTAGCGCTGCCAGCCGGCGGCGATGCGTCTGGCAGCACATCGTCTCCGAAAACTCAGCACCACGTCCTCCATTTCAATCTCACGACGACGCTGGCAGAGAAAACAGACAGACAGTGGTGATAAACAGCACAGTGCCTAACGAGAAACCAGGCACATGGTTCCACTGACGCTGGCGGACAGGGGAAGCAGTCAGGCACTGGTGATAAAAAGTGTCTAACGAGAAAACAGCCACATGGTGGGCATAACAGCAGAGTTCGTGGACTGAGGTGGGCAGTTGCTTAACGACACGGAGTCTACAGACGAGACAGGCTGGTTCCACGGTGCATGGTGTACCAGAAAACACGAGAAAGAGAGACAGTCAGTGGGTAAGAAAAGGAAAAAGGGGAAAGATAGAAGAGGGAGCGGAAAGCACGAAAGAAAAAGGTGATAAATGTGAAGAAATATTGAAAAGGAGAGAGAGGGGGAGAGAGAGAGAGAGAGAGAGAGAGAGAGAGAGAGAGAGAGAGAGAGAGAGAGAGAGAGAGAGAGAGAGAGAGAGAGAGAGAGAGAGAGAGAGAGAGAGACAGAGACAGAGACAGAGACAGAGACAGAGACAGAGACAGAGACAGAGACAGAGACAGAGACAGAGACAGAGACAGAGACAGAGACAGAGACAGAGACAGAGACAGAGACAGAGACAGAGACAGAGACAGAGACAGAGACAGAGACAGAGACAGAGACAGAGACAGAGACAGAGACAGAGACAGAGACAGAGACAGAGACAGAGACAGAGACAGAGACAGAGAGAGAGAGAGAGAGAGAGAGAGAGAGAGAGAGAGAGAGAGAGAGAGAGAGAGAGAGAGAGAGAGAGAGAGAGTGTGTGTGTGTCCCCGTGTGATACAGACACCTGAGGTCGCCTCCTGATCCTGGAATTTCTCTGCGTCTGAGAGTCACAGACCACGTGACCGCGCGGCGCGCCTTTTCACTGACATTTCCCGCGCGAAATGTCTCCGAGCGAGGCGGATGTAATGTTTGGGGTCTCACGGAGGTTTATGTAGCGGTGATGGGCTGACCGCCTCTTTAGGGAGAGGTGGTAACGGTAGGAGAGAGTAGGGTGGGGATTTGGAGAGGTATCAATGTCAGGGTGAGAGTGCCCAGTTGTTTGATGAGGTCCGAGACGATATATGGTTATTTTTGTTATGGATGTTAGTTGTTAAATCTAGCCTTTAAGGCTAATTCTCCTTGCAATGGTGACAAAACTAAATGAGTAAATATGCGTGCATCAAATATCGCTGTTCAATTTTTTTTTGTCCCATACCTATTGAATTGTCCATGTGAAACATAGTGGAACAGGTATGCAGGAGTGCCCTTCCATGCCCATGTGACCTGACTACGTTAAGTACCATAGAACTTCATTCAAGGAGGGCAATTCAAGCACATTAGGTCACATCACTCCCCGCTCTTTTTTCTAGCTATGGACAGCCCGCCACCACAGGTATTAGTAAAAAGGTTACCCCTGGGGACCCAGCAGACAGATAGCCATGGCTAGTGACGTCCGCTGAGTACCCAGGGCTGACAATGGTTAGGTAGGATAAGGACAAAAAGAGACGAAATATGAAAAAGCAAACAATGTATGCATAAACAAAACTAAAGAAAAAACGACAAAAAACGACATTTGAAATACGCTTGTTCAATGGGCATTACAGGAACCAAATTCTTCCATATCTAGCGAGTGGAAATGATGGAAGAACCCTACCCCTGCCTTTGCCACCTCCCCCCCCCCCTCCCCCATATAACGTCGTCCACCACAGCCAGCCTCGGTCAGCCGTTCTGTCCTCTCTTTAGCTCGTTAGTCGGTATCGAACCCACAAACGACCGACAGACCAACCGACCGGGCTGGCTGGGCAGATCGAGCTGAATGTCACGCTGTGTGGGGGAGGGGGGGGGGAGGACGGTGTATAAAGAACAGGTGATGATGGGAATGGGGAAGGGTTGGGAACGGATAGTGTATAGAAGGAGAATGGTGATGAGGGGGAGGGAAGGGGTGGGGTAGGGTAGGGTAGGGAGTGGGGATGGGGATGGACAGTGGGTGGGACAGAGATATTAGCAGAACGACTGGCGATGGAACGAGGAGTCACCAAGTAGGCATCATCGTTAGGAAAGGCGGGACACTGACGCATCGACCCTACATGCGCTATTTACAACAATAACAAAAAAAAAAAAAAACGCCACTGAGAAAGCATGCGCTGAAAACTTGATCAATAAAACAGGAAATAAAAGCAGCTTTTAAGTTTAATTTTTATAAATCCTGGACATCTAAAACGAAAAGCACGCCTAAATTTACCTGCAGCAGAAGCCGTCCCACAGATGCCAAAACCACGCCTTATCACAAGTTCCTACAGACCACTACCCACCGTCCATCGCCTCACCTATCGTAACCCCCGAATTAACCCCCACTGGCGCGCCAATTAACCCTGAAAATAGCGCGCCTCTCGCGCCGTGCCAGGCGGCACCGGCGCGCCACTAAAAGCGCGCGCCCGATGCGCGCGTTATCGACAGGAGTTTGGCGCGCTTTATGGGCGCGGGAGTGGCGGTGCCGGGCGGTGGCCAGCTCCGAGGCCCAATATACCGCCAAGCTCCAAGGCCCGATATACCGCCAGCTCGACTGGACGAGAGTCGCTGGAGTAATTAGATCGGGAGTAGTGTGTTGTTGAAGGATCAGCGGGGAGGGGGAGTGGGATTAGGGGGAGGGAGAGGGGAGGGGAAGGTCGACGAATGACCCCAGCGTTGCTGGAGCGCCGGACTGGTCAGTGATGTGGTCTGTGGATGTCACCGGTGCTGATGTGGCCGAGAAAAGGGTTGAGGGATTTGGGGAGAAATATGCATGTCGGGGAGACGTAAGATCACGCAAATATCTATTCCGTTGAACGAATAAAGTATATGAACTCGTAATTTGATATGCAATTTTTCCATACACGCAGCAGATCTGGGAAAATTACAACTTGGCCGTGAAAATATCATACAGATTGTAATTTTTGGGCGCCTTGATTTCAGAGGTCATGCGCGCATCCTTTACTTCTTCAGACTGCTAAGAGTTTAGGCACAAGGAGCATACACTCAGTGCAAGCAAGGTGGATTTACCTCGTCCCTCTCAGACACACGCACTGTTGGCTCAATGGTCAGCATCACGCAAAAACAAGAAAACCACAATAGTAAAAACGTGTGAAGATAGAAAGCAGCGCTATGTTGGGAAAATGTTTGATGGAACGCGTAAAACAAGACGTGATTTGTCTTAAACTTTTACCTTTACGGGATATTATGTGAAACTCATTTCGGTATAAAATAGCTTCAGCGTAAGATGGCTGTAATAATAATCCAGTGGATACCAACGAGGAAATATGGTGTCAGTCACGTTTCCAATTTTACCCAGCATATAGCATGAGAAACAATATCGCCAGAAAGTGAAAACTTTCGCTCAGAAAATCGTACGTTTTCAGATCATGAAAATAGCATTACTCTCTACCAGTGTAGGCCAGATATATGAGAAACATATTTTAAAAACCTCAACTCGACTCTCTATCTCTGCCTCCATCCCCCTCTCTCTTCTCTCTCTCTCTCTCTCCTCTCACCCTCTCTCTCTCTCTCCTCTCTCTCTCGTC